GTCCCGTTTGGAATTTCTTCGGCCCCATGGCTATTTACACGGCTTACTAAGCAGATAGCCTCTTACCTCCGTTGCCGGGACATCCAGTTCAAAGCGTACATAGACAACTGCCTGCTGGACCATCGGGACCCTGTCACTCTACTCCTCCACCAGGACTTCACCCTTCGACTCCTATACCGTCCTCCCAGATTATCTTAAGCAGCATCTCTGGTGGTGGACGGTGGAATCGAATGTCTTAGGCGGCGTCTCCTTGACAGGGCTTACGACCTCTCTACCCCTCTTCGTAGATGCGTCCCTACAGGGATGGGCCGCACACCTGGAGGGACAGGTCGCCTCAGGGCTGTCGTCCGCCGATCAGTGCCTATAGCACATCAACAACCTCGAACTGGAAGCGCTTATCTTGGCCATCACTCACTGGAAGCAGGCGCTCAGACACGCCTGGCTCTCCATCTCGACAGACAACATCACTGTCATATGGTGTCTCCGGAACCAAGGAACGACTCATTCGAATTTGCTCCTTCAACAGACGTTCCGATTGTTTCACCTGGTGGATTATCTGCAGATCCAGTTCCAGGTCCACCACATCCCGGGCTGTCGAAACATCCTTGCGGATGCCCTGTCTCGGCCAGGCAAAGTGGCTCCCACAGAGTGGAAACTTCGCCCAGACACCTTCTCTCTTGCTTGTCGAGACCACCGTCTCCCCAACATAGACCTATTCGCCACCAGCCAGAACTACCAGATCCAGACCTACATATCTCCGGTACCGGATCCACTGGCATGGCAGTCGACGCTTTCAGCGTCCCCTGGGAAGGACTAAAAGCGTACGCTTTTCCGCCACCTGTAGTCCTTCCCAAAGTCGTCCAGAAGATCAGATCGACACGGAACCTCAATCTGACTTTGGTCGCGCCCTGGTGGCCAGTAAACAGGATGGGATGTGATAATGAACTTTATAGATCCAGAATTGGCTGTGTCCACTCAACCTTTGTTTCGTTCAAGCTGAACAGAGCGAGGAAGACAGCCATGTTCAAGCACAGGCTGCACGTTCCGGCCAGTTCGTTGACCTCAGAGACCTATCCGACGTCAACCACCTGCCACTCCCAGATTGGCCAAATCTGCTGATCCACCCTCACAGCAGACAGCCACACCCAGGACCAGACAGGTTACGTCTTCATGTCTGGTCCATTTACAGAGGGCTTTGAGCTGCGTGATGGGCTGGCCTCTCAGCTAGTTGGAGCAATTTCTTCAAGCAAAGACCCTCACACAGCTCTTTTCTCTGTCAAGAACAAGCAGTAATATACATTAATGAGTAATGCAGGATAAGTATATAAATATAAAAAAATATCTAGGATTTTACTAGATTTGATTGACAACACATCTCTACATATGCCATTATTTTATTACATTTGGTCACATCGATGTTTAAACATGTACAGCATTGAACTTTTAGTTGATTTTTTTTCATTTGTCAAATTACAACTTCAGGCGTCTTTGACGTTGGACTTACATGCGGACAAATGATTGGCTTTCATACCACGGAGGTCCAACGCTTAAGCCCCTGGTAGCCCCTGGCCTCATAATGATATTAATTCTAAAAATGATGTAATGGTTAGTGTTACACTTATCTGCTAAGCAACTGAAAGAAAATTGCATTCTGGCTAGTGCTGTTGAATTTATGTTAACATAATAATGAAACAACATATGATTACTGACCTGCTGATACCAAATGATGCAGGAATTAATTCAACATGTAAATATGCTTGTATGCTAAGTTTTTAGAACCCTGAAAATATGAAAAAAGGACGACATATACAAGCACCTCTACAGGTGCCTCTCCTGGCGTCTTCCCAAGCGTCTCTGCAAGCACCTTTATCAGGGTTTCTACAAGCGCCTTGACAGGCGCCTCTCTCCTTGCATCTCAACAAGCACCTCTACAGACGCCCTCACATATGACTAACCTAGACTTACATGTCGTCTCTACAGTGTAGTCCATCTTTTCCTGTGGTACCAAATCGCCTGGTGCCTCTTCACGATGCAATGGGAGCAAGTCTTCACGATCTAGACTGGCTCACTGACCGGTTGGAGGCGATGGCACCTTCCCCAGGGTCGGGCATCGATAAGAAAGACACTATTTGGTCAGACCCTACGTCTGTTCCTCCTGACCCCATGATCAAGGACACTTGATGAGGGCGGCCGCCACCAAGCGAGTGCCGGGTCAGACGTGCAACACATGAGCTCCGTTGAAACTGGTAAAATACAAAGTTTAAATCGCAAGTATCAACATATATGTTCTAACCCTTATCATACTTCAAGCCAGTAAACAGGATGGGATGTGATAATGAACTTTATAGATCCAGAATCGGCTGTTTCCACTCAACCTTTGTTTCGTTCAAGCTGAACAGAGCGAGGAAGACCGCCATGTTCAAGCACGGGCTGCACGTTCCGGCCGGTTCGTCGACCTCAGAGAGCTATCCGACGTCAACCCCCTGCCACTCCCAGATTGGCAAAATCTGCTGATCCACCCTCACACAGCAGACAGCCACACCCAGGACCAGACAGGTTACGTCTTCATGTCTGGTCAATTTACAGAGAGCATTTTGGGCGCCAAGGGCGACTCGACCAGAGCGGTGGCACATCGCCCAACCACAAGGAGCCTTAATGATGACAAGTGGCAATCTTTTGAGAGCTTTTGCAGGAGTAAGCACCAAGACCCCACATCTGCATCGCCTCAATTCCTGGCCGAGTCCATGCTCCATCTGCGTCACAAGTGTAAGCTCAAGGGCAGTTCCATCATGACCTCCTTTGTGGCACTCAACTCTGTCCTGGCAGTTCCTAAAGATCGACGCATGATAGAAATCCCAGAACTCCAGGCACTGCTCCGCTCATTCAGACTTGAAGACCAAAAGGCGAAGTTCCCTTCCCCGGCCTGGGACTTGAATGTCATTCTCACCTCGCTGAGAGACGCGCCTTTCGAGCCACTCGAAACATCGTCATTCTACAATCTGACGAAAAAGACGGTCTTCGTACTGGCGCTCGCTACAGCAGCCCGTGTCAGTGAGCTATACGCCCTAGACGTCACAGGGGTCCGTTTTGAGCAGGGAGCACACGGAGCCGTGCATCTGGGCCTGTGCTGGGACTTCATTGCAAAGAATCAGCTCCCAGGCCAGCCCAACAGATCGTTCCTCATTCCCCCCCCCCGTCATCGATTTTGGGCGCGAGGATGAACTAGAGCTCCGATGGACGGATTCAAGTGTTACGTCCGGCAGAGTTATGGTATGGGGTAGGATTACAGGACCCGTTTGATAGTGGTAGAGGGAAATCTCAATGGACAGCACTACTGCGATGAGATCATCGGCCCTGTTGTTCTACCGTTTTTGCGTCGTCATGGCCCAGGCATTACCTTTCAACATGACAACGCCCGGCCTCATATTGCTCGACTTGTTCAGGATTCTCTTCAACAAAACAATGTGAATGTCATCCCCTGGCTGGCTCGCTCCCCTGATCTCACCAATTGAGCACATGTGGGATGAGATGGATCGGCATCTTCGACGTCAATCACATGTTCCACAGACACACCAGGAACTTCGAAACATGCTTCAGCAGATATGGACAGATATCCCACAGGACTTTGTGCGATGCCTGGTCCATTCCATGAGACGAAGATGTGTTGCTTGCATCGCAACCAGAGGTGGACACACACGCTATTGATTTGTAAATTGACATTTTGGCATGATCATGTTTTTTATGAAATCACGCATTTTCTGAAGTCAGTATGGCAAATAAAACCATTTGAACACTTACAGGAGTCTTTTATCTGTTGCAAATCGAAATTGTTTCAGATTTGATAAAAAACATAACTTTGCATTAAATCTTATTCAATGTCACAGGAACTTTTGTTGTTCAGTATATTTATAATATACTCAATGAATATTTTCAGCTTTAGTTTCACATTTGGGATATTTTCTAATTTTTGCTCTTATACATTACATTTATGGCATGATTTTGAATTTGAAAGATCAATTTGACTTAACATTTATGAATTTAAAAATAAATATATATTTTTTCGCACATACTGCTGCAAAGCTGTTTTTCCCTTGTATACAATCACACGTATGTTCCTCAGTTGGTCTGTTATAGTGTTTAACAAGAATTGTTAAGAAAAATATTATTGAGAATTTTTTTAAATATGTCATTCCTTGAATACTCTTTAGTTAAGCAGCTGTTAAGTGTTTGATATTGCCAGTGTCTCATAAAAATGAAAAGAAAAAAAATCACTTGCTCAAAAGTAATTAGTTACTTGACCAGTACAAAAAAATCATAAGGATTTTACTTTGAGACATCAAAACCTCGGCCAAACCATGTGACAAACCAGATAGAACGAAAACTATAAAAGCCCTCATATCTGTGGGGTCCATATTTTTTCCATTTTGTGCCTACTTGTAAGTTAAATGATGTGTCATATACCTGATTTATTTTCCTTCAGAAATAACTACAGGATGTGTAATTATAAACAGACAAGAAATATTTCTTGATCACATCGTTCAACAAAATCCAGTCGCCATGTAGACTACCTAGTTTCATCCATTCCGAGTAAGAGGGGTTTTCAGAAAAAATAAAAATTTGACATCTTCACTATTCAGAATTGTCCTTGCAATGGCAGACCAATAACTATATTATGTTGTTATTATTATGACATTACTATATGGTATATCTCATTGTAAGAAAATAATTCGAAAATCATTAACTTCAGAATCCATGATGATTTTGTAATGAGAATTGAGGTGCCTGGGACACCTGTTCCATGTAATGTTTAAAGGCTGATGTGTAGTGATGAATGTGTGAAAATTGTCTGCTCAAGTCACAATATTCCACCTATATCATGCAAAAGTATTCATTGTTTTGGCAGACAAAGCAGTTGTTTTGGCATAGGCATCAAGTGCAAATGTATATGTATAATTTTGGTGTTCAGTTTCATACAGTCATGAGATTCAATTTTTCCACAGGATGTTTTGATGATGAAGATATCGTTCATGTTGAGGGAGATGTTGACCCAGCTCGAGATCTTGAAATCATTCATGATGAGTTACGACTGAAAGACATTGAATTCCTAAAAAAGCAGATGGATCCTCTTGAGAAGACGGTGGGACGTGGAGGAGAGAAAGGAAAAAAGGGAGAGTATGTAAGTGGATGTTCAAATGTTAAAAATAACACTGTATCATAAAACATAATAATAATAATAATAATAATAATAATAATAATAATGTGTAGCTTTAGGTGTATGGTATATATTTAAGTGGCATCCATCTGTTGCCATCAGCCTGTTGCCCGTCTTTCCATCTGTCCTTTTGACTTCCTTTCTGAACTGGCAGAAGGGATGAAGATGTTGAGCACCATTATGGGATTTCTTTGTTCATATACTCAAAATAAGTTTTTAAGGAAAAATAAGTTGAATTGTGAAAAATCTGTTAAATCTTCTCAGACACCACAAGGCACAATGGGATTCAGGTTTGGTCCTGCCAGTAAAATAAACCAAAAATAATTTTTATAGAAAAAAAGTCAATATCCAAACTTTTGTCTTACTTCCTTTTAACTTTCTTTCAAAGACCACAAAGCCCTGAAAGCTCGAACAAAAACTATTTTATGAAGTGTCTGTCTTTGATGACCTCTGTATGTGAGATATGCATTGAAGCTTCCTGTGAGGTAGACATGGTAGGTTGCAAATGGCTATCACGTGAGGCTGTCAAAGGGAGTGATGTGAAATGAGATAACTGAAAGGAGTCAATAATTTGTTGGCCACAAACAATAACAAACAGTGGTAGCAGAGCATATAAAAAAGAAAATGACTGAAATGGAATACGAGACTCGGAAGGATAAACTTTGGTAAGAGGGAATTTGATTTTTTTTTCAGAGAAGAAATGACAATGACACAATTTATCATTGAATATGAATGACAGTGTAATAGATACTATGTGATAAATCGTGAAGAACAATGTAGAACGAAGTGTGGTTTATTTCATGGAAATACCCACCTGTGCATTAAATGGACTTGTCCGACATTGCTGGGGTTGCAATCTAATGAAGGAGTCATCATTATGAAAATATAGGTAAATATTTTTATAGCTTGTACATTACTTCATTATCCTTAAAGAGGCTGTACATAATGTTGATAGCTCTTGGTTGTTGTTTATCGAAACAATAAAACATTGCAGGGAGAATAACCACTCGTGACCTTGCCTCTCATGGTTCATTTTCCCTGCATTGTTTTATTAGACAATAAATGACTCCCACTTGTCGCTTATTTCCTAAATACAGAGTGTTAGAATGTTACTGTATGATGGTGTTGCCAGTGTCGCAGGGGATCTAGACAATAATAATTCAATAAGGACCAAGAAAGTATTGCTAAGATGTACCTGAAACAAGTATATGATAATGATAATATGAAAATGTAAAAAAAAATGTTATGATTTGCTGCTCTTATGATTACTCTGACATTTCACTCTAGAATTTGACTCCAGATTATCACTGAATGAAAACCTCAAGATTGTGAATCATGAGGAGTTTCTCTGTGCTTTCTGGAATGCTGGTCCTGATAATTTTTACAGGACTGCCTCTGTGGTCTTCTGTTTAGTGTTTACAATAGAATTGATGTTATGTCATAGGTCGTAGGTCAGAGGTGTGATGCCATCATCATTATTGAGACATGTAGTTGCCATGTTGTAAGGCTAAAGCAGTGTACCAAAAGAACACAGAGTAGACTGAGTGTTACAAGCAACACAGATGTCTTTGTTCCATGTTAACATTACATAATGGATAGAGTGTTGGCCTGTAGAACTGAAGGTCAGTGTTTCAATTACCTGGCTGTGTCATATGTAAAGATGTTAAAAGTTGGTACGTGTCAGGCATTCGGAATCAGTTTACAGTGAATGGGATATACATGTACATGTTAAATTGCAGAATGGTATCATCAGTTGGCTAGCACTAAAATACCTCTACAACTTCCATGACTTCACCTCACCTGTGTATGCTTAAAGGGGCACTGATCTAAAGCAATTCCCCGGGACTGGTTGTGGCCTTTGTTATTGTTTTTTCCCCGTGAGTACCCGGATGATATAGCAGAAACCTAGACTAGTTCGTAACCTGTACTGCACAATTAGTAAGCGCATTTGTCACTTTTATTGACAGTATACATAAGGGCGTATGGTCACATTGATCAACAAAATGAAATACAGTTTTGGAAATAATAAGGAAATGTAGGTATCTTTGTGTGTAGCATCGGTAATGGTGACGAAGTTTTGAAAGGTCACTTGTTAAGTAATTGTGCGATTTTCGTTTACACTGTTTTGACTTGCAACACAGAGTAAATATTTCTCCTGAGCATTGCTAATTTTATCGTGTGTATATTTTTACAGTCAAAATGTGCAAAATGTTCAGTTAGGAAATTTTTTAAACGCCTGAATATTCAGTTTTTTTACAAATTGACTGAAAAATATGTCCATCTGTATTATTGTGACAACGAATTCTTAACATTGTTATGTTTAATATCATCACCAAGAGACTGAAAATGTTACGATTTCTATATTGTTTGGCTTTTAATCCTACATAATAATCTATTGTGATATTTTTAGGCTCTTTTGATCATCTTAATCAATTTTAGTCAATCTGTTAAAGAAATGGACAGATTTTTCAGACAAAATGACTGAAATATTAACACATTTTATAAATTGCCTGAGAGAATCACATTTTACAAATTGACTGTAATATATACACGCTTACAAAGTAAAAGACTTGTGAACACAATGTCTATCGCGCATCGAAGAATTTTCCAACCAAGACGTTGAGGAACAAGAATGAATCTGTCCAATGGTACAGCAAATGAAGGAAAACAAAATGCAAATATAATAATTATAACCGACCAAATTTATGTGTATAATTGTAGGCAGCTTCCTTGTTCGAGGAATGTATCCGTGAATATCCACACAAAGGAACAATATCCAACAGCAATACAAAGAAACTTGTTCAATGTCACGTGTCTCTGTAACAATCAAATATTTTAAATATATATATATCGTTTCGGGATATTATATCCCGTGTTCGTTTCTCAACTGATCACTTAGATTGTTTCAGGTGTTTCACATAGGTGTCAAGTCTCAAAGGTTGGCCGAGAAAGCCCACGTGACAAGTATTTTCATAACGTCCTCGGTCCCTAAAATCATCCATTGAGTAAGATAACAATGAGCAATCAATCAACGTATTATCGGTTAACCCTTTGAACAAAGTATGTTGTTTTTACATCAGCACTTCACGCCGTGATATGAGTGTATTCCCTTTGTTTTAGTAAACCTAGACATGTAAACACTCACTTTTGACATATCCACCGTGCAAGATAACAGTGATTAATCAATCAATGTATTTTCTATTAATCCTTTGATGACTAGCAACGATCCGTTGATTTACAAAAAAGTAAATCAACTGATCATTCATCTCTTGCTGGGCTGCTATATGCATATTACATAACACACATTTCAACTCACTTCAAACCTGGATTTAGATTGAATAATTACCCCAGGCACAATAAATGCCAAATTTGAACCTTTGTCAGGTATTCTGAGTGGTGCTACCACTAATTATACCTGTAATAAATTCATTAACTGAGCATCAAGTGAATGACGACAAATACACAAGTGTAGGGTTATACTAGAAAACATGGATCAAAACAAGGGATTGACGCAATCCGAAATCCGAAAATTCTTTCCGTTCCGTCCGCGTGCGTTCGTGCGTGCGTGCGTGCGTGCGTGTGTGTGCGTCCCGAAATCGTTTCCGGAGTATAACTCAGAAACCGTTAAATATTTCTCTACGAAACTTTGCATGTCTATCAGACTCATGCTGAACTGGTGCCTTTTGCTATTTAGGAATTTTATAAATTTTAATTTTTTTTACGTTTCCATGGCAACAAGTTGGACTTAGGTTCCATAAGGGTGCTGTTTGTTTCCGGAGCGTAACTCAGAAACCGTTAAATATTTCTCTACGAAACTTTGCATGTCTATCAGACTCATGCTGAACTGGTGCCTTTTGCTATTTAGGAGTTTTATAAATTTTTATTTTTTACGTTTCCATGGCAACAAGTTGGACTTAGGCTCCGGAAAGGAACACCACCCTTATAGAACCTAACTCAAAAACCGTTAAATACTTTCTTACAAAACTTTGCATGTCTACCAGACACATACTGAACTGGTGCCTTTTGCTATTTAGGAGTTTTATAAAAAAATTATGTTTAACGTTTCCATGGCAACAAGTTGGACTTAGGTTCTATTATAGGGTGGGTTCACTTATGGAATATAACAAATAAACTGTTAAATATTTCCTTGTCAAACATTGCATGTCTATATATAAAGCACATACTGAACTGGTGCCATTTGATATTAAGGAGTTTTAGAAATGTATATTTTAGAATTTCCATTACAGCTATTTTGAAATGGGCTAAGATAAATCCTGGGTCAGTTACCTGGTTTGGGACCATAACGTGTTAAAATAGGTGGGGGATATAGATGACTTCGTCAACTATACGCTTGTTTATTATTAAACTATAACCATCAGGGGTATTTCCAAATAACGACATCCGATGAGCCTCCGCCGTTCTTTTTGTCTGTTTGTTTAGGCTGAAAAAATTAATTAACACGCGCCATTTGTCGAAATCTTATAGATCACGGTTAACCAATCAGTGTTAAAAAATGCGTAAAACAAATATTGCCTCCAAGCAGAGACCATATATAATATGGTCTTTGCTCCAAGTTTTTTAAGCTGTCCTTGCAGACGGTAGCCCAGTCTCGTGTCACGCTCAGTTTTGTTGCGTATCATCCAGGTACTCACGGGGAAAAAACAATAACAAAGGCAACAACCAGTCCCGAGGAATTGCTTTAGATCAGTGCCCCTTTAATCCTGTTTAATTGCCTTCCTGTTGATTGACTTCCTCATCATGTGTTCTGTCCATCATGTTGTTACAGTATTATTCTTCTGTTGTTGTTATTTCACCTACCCATGTTAGTCACTCACATGTATGCAATTGTTGTAACTGTTAATCCTCCACCTACCATAGGGCGGCCGAAGACCCGGGTTCGATTCCCGACATGGGTACAATATGTGAAGCCCATTTCTGGTGTCCCCCGCCGTGATATTGCTGGA